ATCATTGATAAAATTGGGGAACGTACATTGAAAAATATCCAGATCTATGGTCACTCTTAAAAAAATTGGAAGGCGTGGCAGCCGTAAGCGCCTGCCCTGTGTGAGCCCTTGTGGAGCAGTAGTGCCTCCCCATTTCCCTCTCCAGGCCCCCTGTCTGGGTCTTCCGGGCACAGGTTTGCAATCCACTGCTCAGGGGCGTTCGGTATAGATTGTATCTTCTTACTTTCTCTAAAAGTGCACTTGTTGGAAGCTCGCTCTTCCTTCCTCTCCTTCAGTGAGAGGACAGAGCCACGGCCCACACTTCAGAGGCCAAGGTAAAGCCTGCCCAGAGACACACAGCAGCGAGCCCAGCAGGCACACAGCAAGTGCCCCTTAGTTGGAGCATGAGGCGTGACTCACCTCGCCTGTCATCTTGGGAAGTGGGCACGAGAACCCACCTCCTTTCCTTTGCTATCCATTCGGTGCTGTGAAATAAAGCAGGAATCTTTATCTCCAAATCCTAAACGCTCACATAGGTTTCTGTTCCCGCACGCCGTGGCCTCCGAGGGCGGAGAGCTGTCGCCCAAGGAGGAGCTGCTGCTGCACCCAGAGGACGCTGAGGGCAAGGATGGCGAGGACAGCGTGTGCCTGTCTGCGGGCAGCGACTCAGAGGAGGGGTTGCTGAAGCGCAAACAGCGGCGCTACCGCACCACGTTCACCAGCTACCAGCTGGAGGAACTGGAGCGGGCCTTCCAGAAGACGCACTACCCGGACGTCTTCACCAGGTACGCGCGCGGGGCGGACCGGCGGCAGCGGCTGGAGGTCGCAAGCAGGCCCCAGAGAGGGAAGGCGGGCGGGCTGGGGCCCGGGGCTCGGGGAAGAGACTTCGCTCCTGGACTCTACCCGGGGGGACCCTCCCAACGCACCTACCTCTCTGCTCGCCGCAAACTATCCATCCACTTCGTCTCCCCCACCCCTCCTCCGGGCGTTAAGTTTAGACTGAGATGATTTCTTTCCTTCCCAAGGTCTCTCAAGTTTCATTTTTTTCAAAGTACAAGTTTTACGGAGAAAAAGAAACGGTCCCCACAGGGCGCGCGATTGCCACCCTGTAGACGCGCGCACTCCGGCGCATACCCGCAGGGCTCCGGGCGCCGCGGTCCAGGCCAGGTTCAGGGCGAGGGGCAGGAAGCGCTGCCTGCCCTCGCGGCCACAGCTAAGCAGGGGCTATTTTTGACCGCTGTGTGGGGTGCTCGCCACCCCCGCCTGATGCCACAGGAGCCTGGTGGGTATCAGTTAACGCTATTTGAAGGGAAGCTGGAGCCCGTGCCTGCGGAGAAGGCCTTTAAAAAGAGCCCAGTTCTGCCGCTTGAGGACTCCTGAAATAATCTAAGGAAGTCGGAACTGGGCAGTATTTAGTACCTGTGCACCTGAAGGCACCAGCCAGAATCTTCCCCTCTCATCGCTTTCCTCTCCCCCAAGCCCGCTATTAAACCCAGCGTTCGTTTAATGCACACGGGTTTACGGGGGTGGGCAATGATTGCTGGGAGCCTGGCAGGACGTACACGTAACAGCTGAGGGAATGTCTTTTGGGGGGAATGGGTGGCCAACCCGGATATTCCGCATGGTTACGCTCCATTTCGACCTCACCCGAAGTTATTGTTTTTGTTTTTGCTGGGGGGAGGAATGTGCCTGTGAGATGACTGGGCCCTTGGGCTGCATTTATTCATTCGACCTGGGGCACCATCCTGGCTGGGGGGCCTTCCTCTCCCACCCAAGGCCAAGGTCTTGGCTCAGGCGCTGGAGCCAGAGTTAGGGCAAACTGCTCCCAGTGGGGAGGGAGAAGGGATGGGTGTCCGCCTGGCGCGGGGTTTGTCAAGCTTCGCAGGAGACGTGTGCAGCTTTTCAATGTGCATTTTAGAAGCAGAAAGCTGCCTGTTCCTTTGAACAGAAGGAGAAATCGCTGGTTAGGGCTCAGGAGGCCCAAGCCAACTCTAAAGTGCAGTTGCTCTGGCAATTAAGTACCGAACTCTCTCCTAACCAGAAAAAGGAAAAAAGTGGGTTGGATGCAGGGCAAAGGCACTAAACTTGGTCATCCCTTAAGCTAAACTTGGTCCTCCCCTGTATCATCCAGGCCCTTCATAGCCTTTAAAAAAAGCAAAAGATTACAAATCGGTGTGTGCTGTCAAATAGCTAACTAGCCTACAGGCGCTCTGCTCTCATCACACATGTGTATTTCAAAGGAAGAAAATAATGTGGTGTCAGTTGGCATCCAGGTCTGCCCTTCTTTAGCATCTCCAGGGGGAACCAAAATATGTGAAGAGGGGCAGCTTCTCTTCGCCCCATGCCCACCTCTTTTGGACCCAGGAGTTAGTTAGAGCCCCTTGACTCCTACCCCGGAGCCAGCTCTCTGAAGCAGGGGGCAACGGAAAGCAGTTAGGGAACCGGTTTTCTCCCGGTCCTGAAGTTTCTGGTGTGGACTGGGGGGCCTGCCAACAGTGCATACCCGGGTCCCAGGCTGGGGCAGTCCCAGCTCTTTCATATTAGTGAGCAGCGAGCCAATTATTCTCAGCGCTCTCATATTTTCGGTAAACAGGTCGTAAGCCGTTTTACAGCATCTTAATGGTTTCCTATTTGCCTTAATTGTCGCAGTAATAACTGCAATGACGGGGTAGGGTTTCAGTTAAATTGACTTCCCCTGAGATGGGCAGGGTTTGTAGTGGGCACTGGAGTCAGGAGGTGCGCAGAATTTTGTTTAATCGAAAAATTACCCCACTGAACTCTTAACAAGCTTAACATATCTCCAGAGGGTAATGGGGAGTATGACCTAAGGGGGGGAGGGAGGGAGGAACGCGGGGGAGAAGGAGATGGAGAGAAAGGCACACACAC